CAAAGTCCAGATGTTTATTTGACAGTTTGGCCATGTAAGTATAGGCCACATGGCCACGCTTCTTATAAGGGCACCACTCATATTGGATTAAGGTCCCTCGCAATAACTGTTTTTACTTCATTGCCTATTCAAAGACCCAATCTCTAAATACAGTCATATTCTGAGGTATTGGGGGTTAGGACTTCAATATAGAATATGAACATCAATATAAGAATATGAATTCAATTTGTAACAGCAGTCAACAGCAGTACAATAAGTAATCATTCCTTATGTACATATTTGGTATGCCAGGTTTTTTTTTTTAATTGAAGATCATTATAAAAACATATATTCTGGGCCTCCTGGTGGTGTGGTAGTTAAGGCACTGAATTCCCACATGGCAGACCATGGTTTGAGTCTTTGACCTGGCAGCTTGCTCTCTTACTTTCCCTTTCTCGCTTTCTGGTCAAATTTTTTAAAAATAAAATAATGAAAAATAAATAAATAATAAAATTAAATTAAATAGTTCTTTTATTTAAAAAAAAGAAGATGAATTCTTCAGTTATTCACAATGGATTTCATGTTTATGCTATTTAATTTATTCTGTATTTTTAGGTCCTCCTGGCCCCAGAGGTCCAAAAGGTGACAGAGGATCCCAAGGACCCCCTGGTCCAACTGGCAACAAAGGACAGAAAGGAGAGAAAGGGGAGCCTGGTCCACCAGGCCCTGCTGGTGAAAGAGGCCCAATTGGACCAGTTGGCCCCCCTGGAGAGCGTGGCGGCAAAGGCTCCAAAGGCTCACAGGGCCCCAAAGGCTCTCGTGGATCCCCTGGGAAGCCTGGCCCTCAGGGCCCCAATGGGGACCCAGGCCCCCCGGGCCCACCGGGCAAAGATGGGCTCCCTGGCCCCCAGGGCCCTCCTGGCTTCCAGGGACTGCAAGGCACTGTTGGAGAGCCTGGGGTGCCTGGACCACGGGGACTGCCAGGCCTACCAGGGGTGCCTGGTATGCCAGGACCTAAAGGACCCCCGGGCCCCCCAGGCCCATCAGGGGCAGTGGTGCCCCTGGCCCTGCAGTACGAGCCGACCTCAGCACCAGAGGCCAATGGTAAGTTTGACCCCTCCCTCCCAATAAGGATGGGGTAGGGGTGTGCTTGGAGCTGGCCCAGCCCCCAGCACGTACACCTCTTCATCCCTGCAGTTTTATTTAGAAATCACTGGGCCAGCAGAGTGACCACACCAGGCAGCATCTCTCTCTAACTAGCGTTGTTTAGTCAGAGGAGTCACGCCCTCAGAAGACAAACACCTCCCAGAACATTTCCCTACGAGAGCCTGTGACTGGCCACCCCGCACCACCCTGTCCTCCTGCTACTCTCTTCACCCTGGGGACAGACCACTCCTTTAGTTAACTCTGTTTCCGCATGCAGACGGAACTTTCTGTTACTGATGCCCAGATTTCATTTCTTTTGGGAAATGTGTTATGGTACCTTCCAGACTTGATAATTAAGCCATCGGCAAAACCCTAATGTTCAGTTCGCCACTGAGCCTGTTTTTCCCTCCTTTGACCCAACCCCAATTCTACTTGATTTCCTTCAGCAGCTTCTTGTTGCATGAGCCTGGTTTTGGCTCTGGGAACTCATACCCAGTTGTTTATAGGTTCCGTATGGTTCTACACTGACGCTGAACATCTGCGCCGACCCCACAGTTTGTTGTTTCTGTTATCTCTGTCACTGCAAAGACTAACCCCGACACGGAAGAAGAAAGACCCAGTCATAGATATGTGCCTGGTTATGGGGTTTTAACTACTGTGTGTCCTGCAGTCCACTTCTCTGAACTGATCTTTGCTCCCAGCATGTCGGAGGGTCAGCCACATGCTGTGCACAAGATGCCCAGGCTGCTCCTGGTGCGTGAGCAGAATCAGGGCCATCCTTTCAGCCTCTTAAACCTAGCTGGACAGGCAGAATGTTTTCTGTGCTTTTGTAAACAGTGTTTTCAAATTCTATTTCTAGGCTGTCCACCTCACTGGAAGAACTTCACAGACAAATGCTACTATTTTTCGGTTGAGAGAGAAATATTTGAGGATGCAAAACTTTTCTGTGAAGACAAATCTTCACATCTCGTTTTCATAAATACGAAAGAGGAACAGGTATGTTCACTGCATACTTCATTGGGGGAAACTATCGTTTAAGGACTGTTTACACCTGCAAATGTCATGGAAACATGGAAGGCTGCATTATGGAGACATGGGCTTTATTCACTGACTGGAAACATCCATGGCATTGGAATTATGTTGGGAGAGTCAAAATGTAGAGAAAATGCTTGAGGGCTGCCCCCAGGCTCCTGTGGAAAGAAAGGCAAAGGCTTGATCACCATCAGGGTAGGGTGGGTTACAAAGGACTAGAAATATAGCCTGAGAGGAGTCAGGAAAGGTAGGAAAGGCCAGAGGGGCAGATAATGATAGTGACCACTCATCAGACCAGTCACCCTATAAGTCAGGCATTGTACCAGGCATTTTCATTTTCTCCTTTCAATCTTGCAACAACCCTAGAAGATACACATTCAGAGATAAGCAAGCCAGGCCCAGCAAGGCTTAAGTGATTTACTCATGGGACAAGCAAATGCAGAGCCGAGAGCACTGCATGGCAGCTGTGCTCGCTTTTTGGTGCTGCGTTGTTCCTATGGCTGTTTTTCTTCTCCCTAAGTGTCTCCAGCAGATGTAACCCTGAAAACAGATATTTCCCATAGTAGCTGACTGCAGTTGGACATCCAAATGAGAATGGTCAGGAATCTGGGCTTTAGGATATACAGGCCTGGCCAGCCATGACAACACATCAGGAATGCAATGCTCTACAATGCTGAGGACATAGGGGAAAGCCCTGGTTTGCATCCTGAGGTCTCCCTATGCACAGCAAGTTTGCAGGCACCTGCCCATGATCCTGGCTGGCTAAGGCTGAGGGTAGGCTCACAGCATAAAGGCCCTGTTGGGGGTGCATCTCTCTGTCTATCTCACTCAGGGACTAAATAAATTACTTAACTGAAAAAAATAAATATCTACAGAGCTGGGTCCAACCCCAGCTCAGTCACTTCTCATCTTTGTTCCGTGGGTTGTTGTAAAGGCTTAAAGACACATAGCATGCAACACACTGCACAGGGGACCCGGTGCAGAGGAAAAACTTAGTAATATCATGGCTATTACTATTGTTAGAGCATGGCTGGCAGAAGGGAAATGAAACTTGCAAAAATTCTTTAAGGTTTCTGGGTGATCTAGAAGAGTCCACCTTACTTGTAAGCTTTTAAAAAGAAAAATGTCAAAGTCCCCAAAGCAGTGCAAAACAACTAGAAGTAAGGTCCCAGAACCCAAACCAGGCTCATGGAACAAAAAATATAACCAGAGCCTTGCTGAAGGAAATCAAGTAGAATCAGGGTTTGGTCAAAGGAGAGAAAAATAGGTTCAGTTGCTAACTAAACATTGGTAAGAACGAGGGATGCAAAAGCATTCTGATACACATCTTTTTTTTTTTTTTCATTGCCAAAGGCTGCATATGCTTACGCATGCAAAAAAGAGAGAAAGAAATCACCCCCCCCCAATAGGGGTGGTCATGCTGCAATCCCTTCTCCATCTCTCTATCAAGGTCTTGGGCACACATGCACATGTGTGTCTTTCAAGACACCAGGGCAAGGATTTGAACTCTCTAAGCCATGTGGGATCCAGTTCTCAATGTATAGCCATTAACCATTGTACTAAGGGTTGACCCCAAACATACTCTTTTTTTAAATTGTCCTTTTCTCTAAATGTTAAAACAAAACAAAAAACCTTTGGGCATCTGTTCCAAGCCATTGTAATTAATGCACCATCACTGATGTGTTTTTCAGCAATGGATAAAAAAGCAGATGGCAGGGAGAGATAGCCACTGGATCGGCCTCACAGATTTGGAGCAGGAAAATGAATGGAAGTGGCTGGATGGGACATCTCCAGACTATAAGTGAGTACTCAGAAACTTCCAGATTGGTGGTCAGACTCTCACTGTTGTATTTTTACCTTTTGCCTGACTCCACAATTTCCTCCTTAATGGCCTTATGTCTTAGACACTCCTTGCAAACCAAGGCTCCTGGTACCAGCCAGATGTTCCCACTAGTGAGACTGTGGTTGACAACTGATAATGCTGTCAAGCAGGGGGTTTTGTTTTGTTTTAAAACCCCACAGTATGGTACTTCTAGCTGAAGCCTTTTCGTTAACTGTTATGGTGAGCGCCAACAAGTGGCACGGTAGTTGGGGTACTGGACTCCCACATGAGAGTAAGTAAATAAATAAATACATGCTATGATGAAAGATGACACAGCCCAGCAACCTGAGGCACGTTTAGCGCTCACCCCAGACCTGTTTCTGGGGACTAGGGAGCTCTCTTCAGGATACCACTGGGCTTCTAACCAGATTGGGATTAGAAACTACAAGTTTTTGACTCCTACACAAGTGTACCGCAAAGTTGCATTTTCAGGATAACTATCCCCTAATGGTTTGAAGATTCCCTGTTGAGTCCAATAATGAGCTGAATTCTATAAAAGCAGTAACAAAGAGCGGAAGCAGTTTGCAATACCTTTTTGGATCTCCTGGGGGCACGGGAGTCTCCCAGAGCCTCATCCTACTGGAGGCTCTACCCAAGGGTCTAAAGATGAGTAAATTATACCACTAATCCCTACTCCAGCTTTGCCTCTACTGGATATGAAAATATGCACCAAACTGTACCAAATGGAGCAGAATTTTTAAAAGTCCACCTCTGAGGAGCCTTTCAGTTTGCTAAAAGAGATAGAAAAGCCAGGCCCTGCAAAGGCTTCACCAGGCATGAGAGCTTTATGGCATCAGGAAAACCTTCCGAGCTGGGCACAGGAGAGGAGAAAATGAAGGTGTTTCAGGTCTAAGACAGTCTCTTGGGTATCACAGCACAGATTCGTATCAGCAAGGAGAGGGGAGGAGGTCCAGGGATGTAGAGAGCCCAGAACAGAATTTTTAAATGTCTCTGCATGTTTGTGTATGTGTACACATGGATACCACACTGCTGTATACTTTTAAATCCTCTGTGTAATGAGAACAATTAGAGGATGTAGGGATGTAGATGGAAACCAAAAGAAGGCCAACCTTTTTAAAACAAACAAACAAAAAAAACGGGGGCCAAATGTTGAGGTGGACTCTTTGAAGATTTTAGCCCTGCTCCAAAGCTGAGCCTCAGACTGCCCGTAAGGCAAGTGGCTATCTCCCTGCTAGCCTGTCACATACCCCGTCTGCTCTTCCGCACCTGTCCTTGGGGAGAGGAAGCCATGCCCTGGCACATCGTGGCACTCAGAAATTCTCCTAAGGAGGTGTCCAGCAAAGCAGGATGACTGCAGGAGTCTCCACACAGGTGTGGGAGCTGATAACCAGAACAAGGATGGATTGGAAGTGGGATGGGAGGCAGAGATGAAAGGAAAAGACAAATCTGTTTCTTTAACAATCAAAAGTACCAGGATCTTCCTTTCAGAGATTTGGAGGAAGCTGCCTTTTTCTTTAATTTGTTTAATCCATCTCCCCCTAATTTTCTCACTGAAAAAAAAGGTCTGGATCTGGATTAGACTCACTAAAGAAATTCAATCTTAAACCTTCCTCCAAGAAAAAACTGGGTTGGCCCATGTGGAATGAATGGATTGAGCTGGAACATTACAGCCTATGCCAGCTCTCTCAACGTACAACTTTCCTCCTCTTCCCTGAAACCCAGCAAGACTGATGTGATTGGAGAAGAGAACGCCAGTGTTGGTACCTGGGACCTGGCAAGGATGGCATCACCAAACACCTTACTGGGAACGGGTCCCCAACCACAGTCACTCTGGAGCCTCCTGACAGCTTCGGCTTCTGTACCCCAGCCACAGTACAGACTGTGCTTCTCAATTTCCACCCCGAGGAATACATATACCCATGCGAACAGCCCCAGGATCGAGTTTTAAAAGCAAGAATAAATTAGGTAGACATATTATGAGGTCTCTATAACCAAAGGCTAATTTAATTTGACATATAATAATAAACATTGCAGAAACTAGAAGAAGAACCAGTGCAGTTGAGGGAGCAGAGCATATGCTCTGGAGACAGTGAGGCCTGAGTTCTGGGCCTTGACCCAGTGCTCCCAGTTGCAGAACCTCATGGGAGGTACTCAACCATGCAAACTCACCATGTCCCCACCTCTAAAATGAATGTGACAAAAGTACATATGTCTGTATTGTAAGAATGAAATAATATATGAGGGGGGTCTTCCAAAAATTCATAGAAAATGCATATTATGAAAAAGGCTGCATAGATTTAAATCTTTTTTTGCAGCAAATAAAGTTCTACTTTAATTCCGTTTTTCCACATTTTTTTTTCCTTGAGTAAGAGAGGCAGATAGACACAGCCCCTCGACAAGGTCCCAATGCCATGATCACCCTCAGACCCAGACTGAGGGTGAGTGCATTCTCAGTGTAACTTACAGAGGTCTCCAAACATGAACTGGGAACTTTTCCATGTGGGATTGCCCATCATTTAGCACAGTGCCACAGTCTGGCCCCCTTTTTGATGTCCCCGAGTATAAAGCATTTAGTATAGAGCTTGGCACATGGGGAGTGCTGAAGAAATATTACTTTGTATTATTATCACTATTATTATCATAATCATAACTATTCTCATACTAGCCTGTAATTGCAGAATACTACTGCCTAGAACTTGTATATTTTATAGTATCTTGATTGAGATAACACACTTCGTATTTCATTCAAGTCTCACAAGTTTGTGAGGAACACAAGGAAAGTATTTTCTGTTGGGGCCTGGGAATGGGGTCCAGGCTTCAGGCTTTCAGGAGTCTCTCACCCATAAAAATGGCCCCCAAGTACTTCTCTATCTATTCAGTTTATCTTTATCCTCCTCCTCTTTGCTTCTGTGGCTTCCAAGACCTGGGCCATCTACCTCCTTTTCCCCTGCCCCCAGCAGTGGTCTCTGGACCTGGCAATCATTAGAAGCTATTATGAGCCATTATACAACAACAAATCAAATAACTTAGAAGAAATGGATAAATTCCTAGAAACTACAACTTGCCAAGACTGAATCAAAGAGAAGCAGAAAGCCTGAACAAACGAGTAGCAAATAAGGAGATTAAAGTAGTCATCAAAAACTTGCCAACCAAGGGAACCAGCAGTTAGCGTAATGGCTATGTTGCTGGACTCCCACGTAGTCGACCGTGGTTCGCGTCCCGGACCTGGTGGCTTAAAACTCATGCCGGGCGCGTGTGCGTGCGTGCGTGCCCAAGATCCCAAGAGGAGAATGGAGGAGAAGGGATTGCAGCGTGACCATCACCCCTGGGGGGTGATTTCTTGCTTTCTGTCTCTCTGTCTCTCTCTCTGTCTGTCTGGCGAGTGCACACGCCCTGTAGCAAAAACCTCTCCAAAAAAAAAAAACCTTGCCAACCAAGAAAAGCCCAGGACCATATGACTTCACAGCTGAATTCTACCAACTAGCAAAGAAGAATTATTATTGATTCTTAAAAACTCTTCCAGGGGCTTGGGACCAGCAGAAGGTCTAATGGCTACGTCACTGGACTCCCATGTGGTTGACCACGGTTCAAGTCCTGGACCCGGTGGCTTAAACTCACACCGGGTGCATGTGTAAGAGTGCCCAAGATCCCCAGAGGAGAATGGAGGAGAAGGGATTGCAGTGTGTCCATTGCCCCGGGGAGGTGATTTCTCGCTTTCTGTCTCTCTGCCTCTCTCTGTCTTTCTTTCAAGCTCATGCACACTACAGCAAAAAACTATTAAAAATAAATAAATAAAAAACTTTTCCAGGGGCCAGATGGTGGTGCAGCAGTAATGCAATGTTCCCTGTGGTGACCCCATATCAAAGGTTCACAGTTCAAGTCCAGAGACCTCCCTGAGTATGCTGAGCATGTTTGCCCATGATCTGTGACTGCTTAAGGCTGGGCTTGGATCATGGTGTCAAGGCCCTGTTGGGAAGTTTGCATGCACATGTGTGCACACACTGTCTTTCTCTCTCTCTCTCTACCTCTCTCTCTTCCTCACTGAGAATAAATAAGTAAATAAGCTAAAAACGACAGCCACATTTTCTCCCCCAAAATGTAGGGGGACATAGCACCCCTCCATGTCTCACCCAGGCTGCAGAAGAATTTAGTGCTACCATTTTCCTCTTAGCCTTTTCCCCAAAACACACACACACACACACACACACACACATACACACACACACACACATATACACACACACACCTCAGCCCTTTTGAACTTGTTTAAAAGTTTTGTGGTTACTGTTAAAGAGGAAATAGTCAAGGAATAAAAGGCTCTCTCTTCTGCCTCTTGGCCTCATTCAGCTTTTTATGCTGATGTCGGATTGAGAAAGATGGTGCTGGAATAAGCAGACAAAAAGCAACAGTGACATGGAACAGACACCACAGGCTTAGGACATATACAGTCCTGAACTCAGATTTATTTCTTACAAAACATAAATGTGATTTGCTGAATTGAATGGCTGTTTCTACACTGTAGCAGGGTAGGACCAGCTGGGAAAAAGGGCATAAGATGAAATCTGCAATAGTTCAGGACAGAGGCTTTGGGTCCATAATACCAACACAATTTCACAAAAAAGACCAGAGGGCCAACATTGCCAAATTTTTATTTGCATTTAAGAACATGGTTTTTAAAAATCACCTATCAGCAAATATCACGGGGGAGAAAAAGACAAAAAACAAACCAAACAAAAAAAAATCCCTATAATCCTTTCCAAGAAAAGACAGCTAGCTATCTTACTTTTACGCACACATACACATTATCCATATTTTTCTCCTTTCAGCCCAGTACTATGAAAACTTCATTCTTGGTCAGCACCAGTCCCCTGTCTAGAGATTGAGATCCATTTGCACACAGTCCTGTAACAACATTCAGTGAATTATCCTGGAGCATTCACTATGAGCCAGCCTCTGTG